AAAGCATGATTTAATGAGTGATAATGTTTCTTTTAAAAAAAATGTGGAGGAAGTATCTGCATCTCAAACAAGAGACCATGCTCTTCCTGACTAAAGAGTCTCATTACAGTTTTTCATACTTACGTAAAAAAAGTAAGTCAAGTCAGGGGCCTCCCCGGTGGCGCAGCAGTTGAGCGCTGGGTTGCGAAGCTGCCTGCAGCCTTTGCAGCGCTGGTTCGATCCCCGGCTGCTCCCCGGCCACTGGAGGAGGGCCCCACATGGCACGCAGACCTCTCCTGCCGCCCACTGCTGTCCTGAGCAGTGTACTTGGGTCCTTCTGTCTGCTCTGCTCCCCGCTCTGGCTCTGGTGAATTCTCTCACCCTCCCGCGCTTCTGACTGTACCCAGTGCTTGTATAAATAAATAAATCTTTAAAAAAAAAAAAAAAGTAATTCAAGTCTAAATCAATTCTAGAACATAGAAGATATTTTATGCACTTAAAAATTATTAATTTATAAAGAATTGAATTCAAGAGTACTTTATTAGTCAGGTCACATTTCTTTTTTCAGGAAAACTTATGGTTAGTATGAATTAAACTAGTTATAACACTTATATGCAAAAAATAGCTCTTAAATTATAAGCTATAAGTCAACTTAAGTCACTATTAGGGGTTCCACATTTCCCAAATCACAGACTTCCCCAGGCTCTTATGTACATCCCAGGACAAGTGTAGAGGCCTCTTGTCTTTGGTACACACCAGTATTGACAGATATGCCTAGTATGCAAGCCTCCATGAGGCCTTGCAGGCTCACAGGTCTGCTTTTGACACACTTTGAGAGGCCCTTGCTGTAGCCCAGTTCCACAGGCATAGAGATCAGCCACCCTGTGTATTGGATAGATGAAACTTTTCCTTCTGAGTATCTGCCACCACCCTTCTGAGTATCTGTCACCAGTATTTGCTTTTCCTGGGAGTGTTCCCCAACTCTTCTCTAGTCTAGGCAATTCTCCTTTCCTTTCTTCTGGCAGCTTCTGTATTTCAACATTGTTCTTGACTGTCCCACCAAACCCCTCTTATTGGGGACAATCTATAGTATCTCATTGTCATCTGAGTGTTCTTAAAATAAGGATGGAAATACCATGCAAGACCAGGGTACATGTTAATAACTCAGTAATTATCCCATCCATTAAAATATGCAAAAGCCTTTCATAATGCAGAATAATAATAATAAATACAGAAGTGTATTTATTAGGCTGTGGTGAACTACAAAAAGTTAATCATCCTTAAAGTGGAAGATACGGATTTTATTATAGGTACAGAGGATAAAAATAGAATGTAAATATTAGATGAATGGAAGGTAAAATGCAATAGCCATAACCATGAATTCATTATATGTTGTTTTCTAAAAAAAGATGAGATAAAAATTTAAATGCCTTTTGAGTAGAGGACAAATAAATAGGGCCTTCCTTAGTGTTCCAGTTATGCTAACCATCCTTAATAATTACTCTCAGTTTTCAGACAAATAACCAGGGATGGGGTTAGAACCCTACCCCAAGGAATTAAACTGTGCAGATATAGCTAATAGTATTCTAGAATCAAAGTCAAGGGATTAAGAGGGAGTAAATAGATTATCTCCTACTTTTATTTTTCAATTACTTTGCATTTGGGGTGATCATCCCAAGACTTGATTGTAATTATTTTAGTCACTTTAATTAGAAATAAAATGTCATGGTTTTTTGACTGTCCCAATATCTACAAGTAATGAAAAGGTTAATATTCTTTTAAGGAATACAAGTGATTATCTTATCTTAGTAACTAAAAGAAAAATTGGATTTCCATCCTCAAAAACACTTAAGCCACACCACCTTATTATCAAACCCAAGTTTTAAATTTTCATCCCTTTGTGTCTAGATCATGCCTCAAAAGGAAATTTCCAAATGCATACTTTTCATGGGTAAAAGGTTCCTGGTAACTAAATTAAAATATGTCTATAATATCAGAAGTACATAGTGTAAAATTTATTTTGTGAAGTGAAAAAGCACTTCTTTTCTGGAACAGTGATGAATGATAATAATTAAAGTTTTGCACTATGTGTTTACAGGCAGATTGTTAAATGCTAATTAAGGTGCTCTATTGTTCTGTTTGATAGTCCCAGTTGATTTTCCTTTATCTTTCGTTTATAGCTACAAATGCTGAAATGCCAAGATTCTTCAAGTATTTAGAAGGGATTTGGGATTAATTATTCTATTTTAAATTTTAAGGAAGGGAAATGATTCTGATGAGCTTTTTTCTTAAAAATTTCTTATTAATAGTTTGGATGCATATTAGATGTTTAAATGTTTGATTATTTGAGTTTAGAATCCTAGATTTAAAAAAAGCACTAAAAACCTTTTCTGTTCTGAAAACAAGGACATTTTATTTATATTTGCTAATATATGCATACAAGTGTGGAATAGAGATTTTGAATCACACACATTAAGTGTGTATCTTTACTTCTATGGGCTGAACTTTTAAGCAGTTGTCAGTGAATATAGGTCATTCCAAAGTCAGGAAATCTGCACTGTATTTTCTTGTAAGTCACCTGTGCTGTTTTCCTGTTCCTTATTAAAATTTTCTTACCCTCTTTCCTAATGGGCATTGTATGCTTTATTTTTGACTTACTCATAGGGCTACATAGAAATTTATTTTTTCTGATATGTGTGTCAGGTCCCCCATGACCACCCCCAAGTAGGGTGATTGACTAAGAAGAACCATAGGACTCTGCATTCAGTCATACAGCTCTGATTTGTTAGAAAGAATGGATGCAATGCAAAATCAGCAAAGGGAAAAAGGCACATAGGACGAGGTCCTAAAGAAACTAGACCCTGGTTTTCAAGAATTCTCTCCTAGTAGTGTCATAACACGATGCACTTAATTTCTCTATCAGCAAATTGTGAAATATATGAAATGTCTACCAGGAAAGCTCATTAGATCCTCCATGACAAAGGTTTCTTCTGAGGGTTGATCATGTAGGCACTCTGCTTATTAGCATGCAATCAAATTCCTAACTCCAAGAAGGAAAGCAGGTATTTAGCATAAGCATACCAACAGGTTAGGCACTGTGAACTGCTCTGATCAATAAGATTGGTGAGAACATTCCCAAAATCCAACTTCCCAATGTCAGACCAGAGCCAGCCTTGCAAGCAGGATGTTTAAAAGATAGCAGGCTCAGGTCTGCTGTGGTAACTCATAACTGCACAATCTGCTTTCAAGAGGAAAAAAAAAAAATAAATAGTTTAAACCTTTATTTAGGAGCATTCAAGTCTGTCATGTCAGTAATTAACCCAAGCCATCTATGAAAGGTAAGGCATTTTTATCTTGAGACAGATGTTTAGGGCCCTGTATCTTTTGTAGGTTGTACCGATAAAACTGTTGGCCCAGTACATTTTCCTACAGCGAAATTATCTTTCTACCCAAAATGCTGCTCCCTGATATTTTGATATTTCTGTGAGAGCTTATAGACTTCATATTTTCTTGTATTTTATTTGCCAATTTTTATTTCATGCTGGAAATAATATGAGCTTAGTAAATTTATTGTCCATGTTTCAACCTTGAAGTAGGTTACAACTTGTTACTAAAATCTTGATAGTCCATATGCATACAAATATACTTGAGCTATAATGTTGATGTTTTAGTATCATTTATTAACACTGCATTTTAGAGGCTGAAAAATGATTAACAACTGGGTTATGAATGCAGAATCTTAGAGCTGAAAGAACTCTTTACCACCCAACCCCACTTCTGTCATTGAGTTGATGCTGAACTAAAACTAGCAAAACAGATGGTACAAAAACTCTCCAGAGGCAGTTGCTCCATACAGCTCTCAGGAGCCCAGGCTGGAGTGTAATTAACTAGCTATCCAAAAAGTTCTTTCTTATCTATTAATATTTTACCGGTCTCCTATAATTTGGAGTATGGCTTTTAAAATCTTTCACTAAAACAACTGCTGACTCATTATTTGGTCTTTGCTTTGCCAGATTGTACCTTCCTACTTTCTTCAACCTTTTCTCACAGAAGTTGTAGGAATAATAATTTGGCTTTAAAACACAAACAAGGGCCTCCCTGGTGGTGCAGTGGGTTAAGACACAACCTACGAAGCTGTCCACAGCCACTGCAGCAGCAGTTCGATCCCTGGCCAGGGAGGTACCCACATGCAGCAGACCTCTCCTGACTCGCCCGCTGCTCCCCTCAGCAGTGTATTTCAGTAATTCCTCCTGTTCTGTTCTCCACTCTGTTTCTGGTGATTACTCTCACCCCGTCACCTCTGGTCTGTACCCCAGTTCTTGTATGCATAAATAAATCAGTCTTTAAAAAAAAAAAAAAACAAACACAACAACAAGAAAAAACCCCACTAGTTTTGCCTAAACCTGTGAACTTGGATAGGGAGAAGAATTAAATTTTTCTCTATCAGAAATTTAGTATTTTCCTCCATTACTTCATCATAAATCAATTTGTAAAGGTACTTGGTGGATAAATGTATTTCTATGTAATTATTTGTAATGTGATGTATTTTATGCATTTAGAAACACTCTGAGTAGGAGGTCTGTTAGGTTCCCTAAGGACCCACAGCAATATAAAGAATTATATTCTGTGATGCAGGCAGTTGAGTAATCTTTTTTTTTTTTAAAGATTTATTCATTTACGCATACAAGAGCTGGGGCACAGGCCAGAGATGTGGGGTGGTGAGAGGATCCATCAGAGACAGAGTGGGGAACAGATCAGGCACACTGACTGAAATACACTGCTGAGGGGAGCAGCGGCCAAGATAGGGGAGGTCTGCCACGCCATGTGGGTAGCTCCCTGGCCGGGCAGGGATCGAACTCATGCTGCAGAGGCTGCAGATTGCTTTACAGTGCGGTGCTTAACCCTTTGCGCCACCAGGGAGGCCCAGTTGAGTAATCTTTAAATGAGAATTCTTAAGATTGTGTTTTGTTTTTTTCTTTATTGACAATAACAGTGCCTGTAATGTACTATTGCACTTTTAGGTTTATGTGCAAGTTAATAAAGAAGCAGCAGAGGATAAAAGTATAGCAAAGTCAGCACATGAGTTTTTTCAGCGATTGGAACTGGGAGAAAAGCAAGCACTTGCAATGTGGCAAAAATTCCGGGATTTGAGCATAGAAGAATATGTTCGCATTTACAAGGTACTGATACACTCTCTTTTGTGTGCTCCTGCAGTGTGGTACAGTTCTTGGCTGGTACTACTGGATATTAAGCTCATGTTTTAAAAATCAATTTGTGTCAAGTTGAAAATTGGGGTTTTAATATTGTTTTTTGACTTCAAAGTTAGCGCTATAAACATTCCTAAAACCTGTGAACTTCACAGGCGAGATATTCACCAGGTAGCATTCTGACACTTCATTTCAGTCTGGATTTTCTCTTATTCTATCGGTCCTTCTACTTTTAAAGTAATTTTGTCTTTTATTTCCTTCGCCCTGTATGTGATGAGTATAAATTTGTTGAATTAATGAACATTTTAGGAGCTGGGCCAGAAAACAATAGCGAATAAAGAAAATAAAAGTCCTTCTCTTGTGGACTTTACATTCTAGCATGGAGATAAAAGTGAATTAAACAAATTAACAACAGAGCAAATTAAACAGCAACATGATAGATGGTGATGCTATGGAGAAAAAGGGAAGCAGTGGAGATCAGGTGTGCTGTGTGAGTGTATTGGGTAAGGAGTGTTTTAATCAAGAAGTCATGTTGCTGGTGTGAGGGAGTGAGCAAGATGAAGAACAGTGAGTGAGGAGGTAGAGAGGTGTGGCAGGGCACGATGTAGCACATACTCCAGGGCTATCTAATATGGCTTCCTGCTCAATAGAAATATTTATACTGCTGGAAATAGTAGCGGACTGATGGAAATTGAGCGCCTAAAGTATGAATAGTAGACTCAGAAACTAAATTTTCATTTTTTTTGAGTTTGCATAGACATACCTGGCTACTAGATTGGGCAGCACAATACCATTGTTAGGACCTGACTGGTGTGGGGGAGCAGAGGAATGACTTGATTTAAGTCTTTTTTCCCCATCTGTGTGACAGACTGTAGCGCATTCTACTTTGTCGACAAGGACGATAATAGGATGTTAAAGTAACTTGTTTGTTTCTGAACTCCTTTAGCGTCTAGGAATACATTTTGATGAATACTCAGGAGAATCATTTTATCGTGAAAAATCTCAAGAAGTCTTAAAGTGGCTGGACAATAAAGGACTCCTGGAGAAAACAATGTACGATCAGATTATTATTTAGTAAAGTTATTTGCTTTTCTTTCAATTTGGAACTGATATTTTCTTTCAGTGAGTGAAACAGAATGTGGTATGCAGCCTTTCTGCATTGCTTATAGTGCTTTTAGTTATTCAAAGTATTTTCCCACATGCTGTCTTTTGCAGCCATAGCAAAATCCTGGTAAGTTAGGAAAAAGGATGTTGTCTCCTCTTTTCATGGGAGAAAACTGAAAGTACAAGCGACCTGCCTCAGCTCACACATGCTGATAATGGTCTAACGGGGAAAAGGAAATTGATCTTATATCTTCTTACACTTACACTTACAATTGATCTTACATCTTCTTTTTTTTTTAAAAAAAAAAAAAATCCCATCCTGTTCTGAAAAGAGTTAAGGCAGCTTATTAAATGGCATGACAAGTCTTTGAAAGGGTAAGAGGAAGAAATCAGGAAGCAGGAACAGAAAAAATGAATTAATGGATGATTGTTAGAGTATCATATAACACGCACAAAGGTTCTGTTTTCTTGCTTAAGGTAGATATCTGATTTAGCTTTGAATTTCCTGTAAGCCAAACAAAAATAGCACCAGTCATAGCAGACCAGGCAGCTGTAATATTGAAGCAAACCAGTTGCTTGGAAGTTGTACTTTTCAATACTGTCAGAGAGCAACTTCTAGCATAAGTATTAAAAGGAAGACATGGAGAAGGTAGTTTATAACATGGTCAGTAATACTCCTGAAGGAAAATTTTAGATTGCCACAAAATGATTGTTTTTAAGATTTATTTATGCATACAAGAGCTGGGGTGTCGGCCAGAGGTGTGTGTGTGTTGGGAGGAGAGGATTCACCAGAGACAGAGTGGGGAGCATAACAGGCGAATCTACTGAAATACACTGCTGAGGGGAGCAGCAGGCGAGTCAGGTCCTGCGCCATGTGGGTCACCTCCTTGGCCAGGGATTGAACTCATGCTGCAGTGGCTGCTGGTACCTTCATAGTGATGAGAATTAACCCCTTGTGCAACCATGGAAGCCCTGCTACATATAGATAATAATTTTTGATCAATCAGGAAAAATAATAAAAATCCATGGTTTTATTAATCAAGAGCACTTTCTGACATGTTAAAAATTAGGGGTTCGATCCCCGGCTGCCGGGCGAGGGTCCCGCATTGCGCGCAGACCTTTCCTGCCACCCGCTGCTCCCCTCAGCAGTGTATTTCATCAGTCTGTCTGTTCTGCTCCACTCTGACTCTGGTGAATTCTCTCACCCTCCTGAGTTTCTGACTGTACCCAGTACTTGTATAAATAAATAAATCTTTAAAAAAAAATTAGCCCAATATTGAATTATAATGACTGGAATTAGAAAAATGTTTCATGGTTAAGCTGCAGTTGTAATCTCACTTTCACTGGGTGCATAAATATCTAAGTATCCTGAGCTGTAGATTTTAGAAACCTAAGATAACCGAATATTACATCATACTCTTAATAGATTCATGGTCATATTTCTTCTTGTTTTTCTTCATTTGTTGGTAACACTGTTTATTGGTACTTGAGTTTGTGAAAGATAATGTTATAGTTATACTTTTACAGATCATAATTCATTATTTTGCTTCAGAATTACATCTTTGCATTTCTAGAAAAGGAACAAGTGTAGTGGATCTTTCTAGGAATGGTGACCCCTCCTCATTTTGTACTGTAATGCGAAGTGATGGGACTTCCCTCTATGCAACCAGGTTTGTATTTTCTGTGAAGGTCAACATTAGAATATGCAAATGACTTCATTGTTCTTTGTTCTATAATTAATGCTTAAGAAGATAATTTTTTTTTTTTTTAAATTTTTTTTTGTTTTGTTTTGTTTAAGATTTATTTATTCATACAAGCACTGGGTACAGTCAGAAGCGCGGGAGGGTGAGAGAATTCACCAGAGCCAGAGCAGGGAGCAGAACAGGCAGACTGACGAAATACACTGCTAAGGGGAGCAGCGGGCGGCAGGAGAGGTCTGCGCGCCATGTGGGACCCTCGCCCCGTGGCTGGGGATCGAACCGGCGCTGCTGAGGCTGCGCGCAGCTTCGCAGCCCAGTGCTCAACCGCTGCGCCACCAGAGGAGGCCCTTAAGAAGATAATTTTATTCTCAACACTTGTCAAACCCTAATTTATAATGCTCATTCAACAATTGGTTTTCTGTTTATTGCCAGTTATAGCTCCTGGAGAGGTTTACTATCATCAGGAAAGAAACTGAAAAAACTGTTTATAATTAAACATCATAGGATTTCCACAGTGGAATACCTTGTTCTGTAAATCACGAAAAAAAAAAAAATCAACTAAATAATTTGCGATTGCACATTGGCAAGAAATGTATACTAGAAGGTGACCACATTGACTCAGTGGTGTCCCCACTTTGTAAAGACCATCTTATTTATGTGCATGCAGATACCAGACCTCATTCTGATTGTGGTAAAATAGGCTGAGAGAGAAACAGATTCTGTTGCTTCTATTTTGTGTACCCATCTCCATGGCTTTTCCCAGTGGACAGGAGCAATCTCTGTCCAGCTGTAAGAACTGCTCTCACCAAGCCCTCTTATTTACTTCTGGGACAAAGCTAATGGGAAAGAAAACACAGGACAATAAAAGAGACACACAAGCAAACCCAGTCTTACTCAAGTACTGCCTTGATAGTAATCTCAAGGCCAGGATTTTATATTGGGTCAGGAAACACTCTTGTAGCATAATGATATTTTGTTATAGTTAACCACCATCATTTGTTCCAAACAACTTTAAGCAACCATTTTGACTATTACTCTCCTTTAGGAAATTCATCTCTTACTTGATATTACTTTTTTGGCATTACCCTTTATCAGTTCCATACAATTGGGCTAGGAAGCAAGAATAGCCTAGATATGTACATTTCTTTTTCTAGATACAAAAAAAATATAGTACAGAAAAAAGTATATAGTACAGATTTTTTCATGCCAGCTGATTAGTGCTGGTCAGATTAAAAATGTGGTCACCTTCTGGTATGCATTAAAGTGTTTTATAAAAAATGGGCATCCCCTGGTGGCGCAGGTGGTTGAGCACTGCGCTATGAAGCTGTCCGCAGCCTCTGCGGTGCTGGTTCGATCCTGGCTGGCCGTCGAGGGTCCCACATGGCACAGCAGACCTCTCCTGTCGCACCCACTGCTCCCCTCAGCAGTGTATTTCGTCAATCTGCCTGTTCTGTTTCCCATTCTGTCTCTGAATTCTCTCACCTCCCGTGTATCTGGCCTGTGCCCCGGTTCTTGTATAAATAAATAAATAAATCTTTTAAAAAAAATGTTTATAAAAAATTGGGATGTTTTCCTTCAGAACAGAGATGCCACATCATTTACTCTATCACTGTCTTAAGCTAGTAAATTTTTTGGGTTATCGTTAGGTTTAGATTTTACCTTACATTTTTTTGCTTTGGGAAAAAATTCTTTTTGGCCACTGGTTGAAATGTCAGATTTCACCTTGCTTAGTTTCTGCCCTTTCAGTGGGTTCCTCATAGAATACATGTATGTGTGAGGACATGGGTTAAAGGAATTGTAACAAAGGAAAAGTACAGAATACTGACAAGGGCACGGGCTAGAGACCTGCTTTGTTCTGAGACCACGACCATCAACATAAACTCTTTGGGCCATGGTTCCTACTTTATGAAATGAGATACCTGGCCTAAAAGACTTGGCTTTTCTTCCTTCTTTCAAATTTCAGTTCAGACAACCAAACCTAGAACTTTTTTTTTTTTCTTTCATTGGCTCAAAGAATTTCTGTTTTGGCTTTGATGCAAATCAAAAAAGATAATGTTGGTATTGGTGACTTCATTTGGGGATAATCTTCTATACTAGTGTTTTATTATATAAATACTATTAATATTTATTATGTAAATATATATATTTATTACTATAACTTCTCTCAGAAGCTTTTAGTCATATTTTTCCTACTTACCCACCCTTATTAAATTTTAATACCACAAATATATACCTATATGTATTTTTTTTGCATCCTTTTCCTTTCTGTATTAAAAAAAAAAACTGTGTCTCATAGGAGCCTATTTTTGCCTCCACTGAGAATGCCTGCTTTGTGTTAGGTCAAGATCAGGAGGGTGGGTCCTGTGACAGTTTGATCCCAACATTTCTAAAGACCTAGAAACATTTTAATCCTACTGTTAGGGAGAAAGGACCCACAGTCAGGCACCCCGTTTTGTATCGGGGTTGCTCTACAACACAACTGTCATATATTTTTAACCAGAAGTAACTTTAATTTTAAATTTCAATGTTTTTTAATCCTTACTTGAACCTTCATTAAACTGGGTTTTTGTTTTTTTTTATTATCTCATACTGTTTGTAAACTGGATCTTTTGTACTTAATGAGAGTTTAAGATATTTACTTATGCATATAAGAACAGGGTACAGGTCAGAGGTTGGGGGGGGTGGGAGATGGTGAGAGAACTCACCAGAGACAGACTGGGGAACAGAATGGGCAGATCGACTGAAATACACTGCTGAGGGGAGCAGCGGGCAAGTCAGGAGAGGTCTGCTGTGCCATGTGGGCAGCTTCCTGGCCAGATATTGAACTTGCGCTGCAGTTTCTATGGATAGCTTCATAGGTTGCGTCTTAACCCCTTGCGCCACCAGGGAGGTCTTCACAGTGCTTTATTATTATTGCCTTGTACCAAAGTTTGGTATTGACATTATATAAGTTTGGGTAGTTATACCCTAGACTGTGGGGTAATAGGAAGTCTTAATTAGAAGGGTCTCGTTATCATTAAATAGGTAAAACAGGTTAACTACTGAGATCTGCTTAGTAACTCTTGATTTATGGTCATTTTTCCAGAGATCTTGCAGCTGCTATAGATCGAATGGACAAGTACAATTTTGATACAATGATTTATGTGGTAAGTAATCAGGAACAAAAGGTTATGATCCTTGTCTCATGGAAACTGCAAAGACAGAAGTTGATACCATGTTGGAAAACTGGAAAAATAATTCTGTCAAACTATATAGAGAATTCCATGTTAAGAGTTTTTTATTAAGCTATATTTGACATATAACAGTAATTATAGGTATGCAATATAAAAATGGAATATATATGTATGTACTATAGATGGTTACTACGATAATTACATCTATCACATAGTTACATACTCTACTTAGAAATTTATCATTTTTTTGGTGGTAGTAACTTCTAAGTTATACTGTCTTAGCAACTTAAATGTATATAAGGTGGTAACCAATATACTTAAAGAAAAAAATGAAAAAGTCCATATTCATAATAAAACATTTTACCCAAATCAGGAAATTGATTGTGAAATTAACATGTACAGGTCACTTAATGTACTTTTTAAAAAATAACTTTTTATTTTAAACACATATGACTCACAATACATTTCAAAGTAATAGTTTCGATGTACCCTTCATCCAGCTTCCCCCAAAGATAAAAGCCTGCATAGCCATGGTACTTAGTCAATACCAAGACATTGGCAGAGACTTTATTTAAATTTTGCCAATTTTTATATGCACTTATGTGAGGGCATGGAGGTGTCTGTGTGTGGTTTTATGAAATTTTATCATGTGCCTAACTATCACCACATTCAGAATACATAACTGTTTCGTCACAAAAAAATCTTCCTCAGGACAGCTACTTAGTCTCATCTCCCGCCTGCTCCCAATCCTCAACCTTGGTAACAACTACTGTTGTGTTCTACATCGGTTCGAATTTGTTCTTTGAAAATGTTATATAAATGGAAACTTTTCACTCAGTATAATGAATGTCCTTGAATTCCACCCAAGCTGTTGTATTTATCTGTAGTTGGTTCCTTTTATGCTGAGCAGTATTCTATTGTCTTCTCTTTCCTTCCTATTTATAACCTCCCTTTCCCTTAAGGAAAAAGAAGTTGTCATTATCTTTTTAGCTTGACTGTGGCCTTCTTGGAGATAAAAGGAGAAAGAGCTGAGAGAGAAAGAATGTAAATAGACTAAGAGGATTAAAAGTCCATATTTCTTCCTGACTTAGTGCAGTGCTGAGCTCTTCCTTCTTTTATGGCACTCAGCTTAAATATTCTTTTTGTGTGTTTATTTAAAACAAATCAATCAACAATGACTTTATCAAAACTACAATATGTTCATTTGATGCATGTCCAATCTATTTTTATAGTTATTTTAAATGTTTTCTTTTAAAGACAGATAAAGGGCAAAAAAAGCACTTCCAGCAAGTCTTCCAAACACTGAAGATCATGGGCTATGACTGGGCAGAAAGGTAATGTCTGCATGGTTCCTAACTGCCTGTTCAGAACCATTCATATTTCAAATCCCCTCTCCGATAGTTAAAGTTCAGACTATTCTCTAAAAGGGTATTTTATGTACTTTGATCACCAGATGTGTTTTAGTTTTCAGTTAACTAAATGCCCACTCCATTTCAGGTGCCAGCATGTGCCCTTTGGAGTAGTGCAGGGAATGAAGACTCGAAGAGGAGATGTTACTTTTCTGGAAGATGTTTTAAATGAGATTCGATTAAGGATGCTACAGAACATGGCTTCTGTTAAGAGTGAATTCCATTTTTTGTTACTATCACAATTTATGTATCACTTTTATGTTTTGCTGGACTTCTGTCCCTCCAATGAACTTTTACTAACCTTGACAACAATAGCTTATGCTAATTAGAGGTGCCAGAACTCTTAGATGTTGTTCATTTCAGAAATCCAATTTTAGTAACCCTTCAGCACCATCATTCCATTGTTGGAGTGGTAATGCAGAGTTCCTGAGTTACATAATGAATTACAAGTCAAAAGACCTATGGCTTTGTTGAAACTTCACTTTGAGAAAAATCACCTGTATCTAACGGGAATATTTGCAAGAAATATAAATTTGTGTTCCTTTAATGTAAGCAGGGGAAATAAAATTATTTAAAGTAAATTCCCCCAAATTAGGAAAGTAAGTTAGTTTACTGTACCTGCTTGTTGTTATATTCACTTTTGAAAAATGTTATCTCCATTCAGTCCCTGATTCTATAGTTTCCCGCAGGTTAAAACAGCTGCCTTTGTCTGTTTCAGCAACCAAAGAACTGGAGAACCCACAGGAGACAGCAGAGAAGGTTGGACTTGCAGCGCTTATTATTCAGGTCTGTTAAGACTTCTTCCTATGAGATCCTTTTGTATGGTACTAGAATAAATCCCGGTACTGAAGATATTCTCTGTCATTTTAGGACTTTAAAGGTTTACTCTTATCTGACTATCAGTTCAGCTGGGATCGTGTTTTCCAGAGTCGTGGAGACACAGGCGTCTTCCTACAATACACACATGCCCGCCTTCACAGGTGAGAAGGGGCTGTCCAGGAACTCAGACCACTCTGGCCTCTGGTGTGACCAAAGTCTCTGTTTTCTGGGTTTCTCCAGTATCTCGTATTTAAAGCTAATTAAAATGTAGTGGAACTCTTGTTACATTTGGCTCTTAGAGTTTTTTTAAGTATTTATTGAGTGCCTATTTAATGCTTTTATATATTTATATATATATAAAAACTTTATTTAGTCTTCAGAATAACCCTGCTAAAGAATATATTCCATTTTCAGATAAAGAAACAGCGCTAGGGAAAATTGAGACATCTGGTCAAACAACATTACATCAAGACTGTATTTTGAGATGGTGTTCATCACTTGTGACTCTGTGCCCTTGGACAACTAACTTCTTGTTTAATCCTTTGTTTTTAAACTTTTGATAACAGTTTGGAAGAGACTTTTGGATGTGGTTACCTTAATGACTTCAATACTTCTTGTTTACAAGAGCCACAGTCTGTTTCAATTCTCCAGCATCTTCTCAGGTATGAAAGTTTTCTAGTGTTAGCATGGCTGCTCCTGCTTCAAAAAATAACTCTCTCCTGACCACTGCCAGTGTGAATAGGCCAGTGTCTGGCTCCGGCCCCCCTCCTGTACACAGGACTTTACTGAAGGATGACCAAAGAGTGAATGACTGTCCTTGAAAGGCAGACAAAGGACATGCAGGAGGTCATTCCTTGGGTTTTAAAAATATTATCACTGCTTAATATTAAATGCCTAACATCCTCAAAATTATGAATAAAAATGGAAAGCCTGGTAAAAGTGTAGCATTTTATTTTTTATTTTAAAGATTTATTTATTCATGCATACAAGAACCAGGGTACAGGCCAGATGCGTGGGAGGGTGAGAGGATTCACCAGAGAGCGAGCAGGGAACAGAACAGGCAGAAGGACCGAAATACACTGCTGAGGGGAGCAGTGAGAGAGACAGGAGAGGTCTGCTGCGCCATGTGGGATTCTCGCCAGTGGCCTGGATCGAACCCATACTGCAGAGGCTGTGGACAGCTTCACAGCACTGCGCTCAACCGCCTGCGCCACCAGGGGAGGCCCAAAAGCATAGCATTTTAGATTTGAAAAGATACGTGTCTTTTTGCTGTAAAAAGCAAAGAAAAAAACCTGCCTTTTGTGCTGCCTCCTGAGTAAGTCCTTCATTTCCTCTTGTTTTCAGTTCACAACTTCAAATACATATCTACCTGATGCCCCACACTGGGCAAGAGACCACATCTCTCCGCTCTCTCAAGCATTCTTGGTATAGTCTTGTGACTGAAGAGATTAGTCTCTGGAAGGATATTCATGGTTAACAAGAAGGCAGTTTTCCCTGATTGCCACACAATGGTCACTGGATCTTTTCTGGGATCAAAGGAGGAATCACTGTATTCACATTTAGCTAATTTGTGAGGAAAATTAAGACAATGTGCTTTTGTTAGCATTGAAGGTAGACTCAGTTTTTCAGATTACATTCCTAAACATGGCTAGAGGTTTTATATAATTTGTACATAAGTTTAACAGCCATGATTTGAGTCTTTGCTTTGAGCTATATATAAGGGATATTGAGATGATTGAGAAATTCCAGCCATCAAAGAATTGATAAGAAAAATGTGTCTATATCTTCAAGTACTCAAGGCCTTTTTTCCTATCCATGCTACTTTTAATGACGTAACGTGAATCTTACATCCAAGATGTCTGCCTTACTATTTTAGCTCAGTAAAATAAGTGGAGTCTTCCCCTGGCAACTATCCCTGTCATTTTCTTTTAGGTTCGATGAGGTGCTTTATAGATCATCTCAGGACCTTCAACCCAGGCACATTGTCAGTTACCTTCTAACTCTAAGGTATCTTACCTTGCTATTTTAAGGTATGAATTGACATTTTTAGCCCTGCTCTAACAAAGGACCTTTCTTTCTTTTAAAGTTTTCCTATAAATAAGCCACTTGACCCAAAAAGTGATATGCTTTAAGTTACAAGAATTTTTGCTTCATCTTTCCAAACTAGCATTAATTCAGTGATATAAGAGGTGGTCACTACTGTCTAGTGAACAGGAACCAAAACCCTCATCATAGGTGGGTAAGTACAGCACATAAGAGTTATAATAGTGATGTAAGAGACAGTGTTTGGGCACTCAGCCCAGCCTTGAGAGATCAGAAAGGGCTTCTTAGAGAAAGGTGATAGATACTAATGAGGAGAAGCAAGGTGGCAGAGAAGGGGGAAAAAGCCAAAAGTTGAATGAGAACAAAGAAATTACAAGCATAGCTCTAGGAAGGATACAAAAGCATATACAGGCTGTTTTGCCATGTACTTAAAAGCATTTAGACTTCTTCTCAGGACAGTAGGATTCTCAAAAGGATCTTAAGCAGAAGCACAGAAAAATCGTCAGCAAGAGGGTAGAAAATGATTTGGGAGGCAAGTCAGTACGACTTCGATAAAATTTCATGGTAGCTTTTTTAGAAGTTTTGGGTAGAATTTAAGTTGACTTTCATGTAGCAACAGCTGTATCTTCCCATCAAGCTATTTAAAAGAAAATTTTAAATTTTCTTTTAAATTTTTTATTCAATATTTACTAAAATTAGAGATCTATTGGGGTTTTCTTAACTTCAACTTTTCTTCCCAAGATTGAAGAAAGATTCTTTTTCCTTTAAATTCTACTTAGCCATATAAAGGTGAAGAAGCCATAAAAGTCTTTTTAATATCACTTCATCATTAGAACCAGTATCCAAGGCATCATTTCTCTGGCACTCTGTTCTACTTGCTTCCACTCCTTAACAGAAAAGATGCTCTAAAGAAGAGTGGTCAGTGTGTTGTGCAGAACAGACAGGTAACTAGTTCCTACCCACCTCCTCACTACAGACACCATGCTAAAAGGTATAAAAATGTACCTTTTATCTTAATGCCCAAATGAGGAAAAACTAATAATTAGAAAGGCATCCCCCTATATTTACAAAACTAACAATGAACTCATAACCTTGAGAACAGTAGCTGAGCCAGGACCAAAACCTAAAGTTTGAGTTTAGTTTGTTTTACTTGTTATAGAAAAGCAGTGAATTCTAGTCTCAACTTTCCAATTTTAGGATATGTCCTTTAATAGCTCTAGGCTTTGATTTAAGTTGAGGGAGTAAGATTAAATATTAAGTTTCTAAACTGGAAACTACTGCTGGCCCTAACCGTAATTTTTCTCTTCCATTTGCAGTCATCTTGCAGCTGTGGCACACAAAACACTGCACATAAAGAACAGTCCCTCTGAAGTGGCAGGGGTATGTTTTATTAAATGTTCTCTGTATAAACTGTATCTGCACGTTGATAAAGTATATTTTATTGTACTTGTTTCGGTAACATGAGTATTGTGTGATCTGTTAATCAGTTCTGCTAGCCTCATCCAGCATTTCCATTCAGGTCTGCTGGCAACTACTACTTAGTCCTGTAAATGCTTCTAAAATAGCATCCTAATGTTCAATATAGCAAAATACTTTATAAACTCAGTAATTAGAATTGCACTAAACAATAAATGTTTAGATACTTTCCAACACAATACATTTTCCTATATCAAGTGTGAGTGATGGGTTCCCTTATCAGAAGCTATACTATAACACTGTCACTCCACAGCTCTTGAGTACTAGGAATTTCTTCTATTGTCTGAGCAAAACCCATGGGTACTTTGAGATATTGTTCCTATTTTAAATAAGAAGAAGTTAAAAATACTTTTAAGGTCATTCTTATTCACATATATAGCCAGCCTACTGGCGAACAGTTCATCATTCTTTGATTTATTTTGTAGGCCAGACTTCATCTTTTCAGAGCTGTCCGTTCTGTCCTAGCCAATGGAATGAAACTTCTTGGAATAACACCTGTATGTAGAATGTAATTTCTAATTAAAATGGCTTTTAAAATACTAGGTGAATTCTAGTTACCTATTCTTATGTGCATTGCTGTTTAGAATAGAATTTAAACTATTATTCTGTATCATAATCTCTACTAAGTGAATTTTCAAATTATTAAATATCCCTAAAAAGGAATCATCTGAGTTTCCCTCAGGGTCAGTAAGTACTTAAACAGACTTGTAAAACTATACTAAACCTTTTTAAAATTCATTGTGCTTTAACAGAGATAAAAGAGTAAACTTTAGATTAGATTTCTTAACAGTGTCATTCTCTCAGAAAGACTATTCTTAAAGCTAATATTTTCATCAAAAAAAATAAGGGGGAAAAACCTAAGTTTTCTTGTAATTATGGCTAGTTCTGAATAAATTTATTAAATAACGATCAGGATTATTTTTCCCAATAAGGTTGACGACTACTCCTAGGTGACAGATATTATGCTTATATTTTTGTAGATATATAAAGGTTACTCTCAATACGTGAATTCAGGATACATTTGAAGAGCAAGGAATTACACATACAGGTATCTCTATATTAGGATATTTTCATGGAAATTGGTTCATCAGTTAAGCTATATTTGAAATTTATTTCCTTCCTGTATCTGCACATTGTTAAGGTATATTTTATGGTACTTGTTTAGGTAACATGAGTATAATGTGACCTGTTTGATCAGTTCTGCTAGTAGCTTCATCCAGCATTTCCATTCAGGTCTGCTCTAATTTGTTCTGAATGTTGCTACTAGAACTCTTGTGAATACCAGTGACAGTCAATAAATATAAACCAAAGTTTCTCTAGTTGAACGAACATAGTGTTATATTGGCAAGTATGGTATACCCTCTTAGTCTGAGAAAAGATTCGTTTATACAGTCAGTCACACTTTTAATTAGCTTCCAGATTACTTTCTATTGAAAGTATTAAATTTCCTTAGAACAAATCAGCCAGGGAATAAAAATGTACAGTTGGGACATGTAAAATATGTCCCATATCCCCCTCCTCTTCTTGGGACAAACGTTCCCAAATCTGTGGTAGCCTCTCAATTTTTGAATCTTGAGTGAAATGATAGAGACAGTGACGATTAGAGCCCCATCCTTCGGAAAGCATCTCTCTAAGAAAACTGTTTATTAATTCAGCCTATACTCTGCAACCTAGAGTCCAATGAGCATGAATGCAGTCAGTCCTCTTAGCCCCAGCTGGCCTGTTTGTATTTTGCCTTATGTTCATATATATAAAATACAGAAATTGATCAACTTTCATATAAATAAATTAAGTTTATTGCTGAATTTTCCCATGAACATGATAGAAACGTTTTTTAAAAAACACTGAAATTTTACAACTGGTTGAGTCCCACAGTTAAACATACTTCATTAAAAAAAAGTACAAAAGTGACATTAGAAATTTTTGAAGATCTAACAGCAAAGGAATATGAACCCAGAGAATGGATGACACAAATACAGCACTTGAAGGGTTACTTGACCACCCAGAAATCACTGTCTGAGTTATGAAATAGATTCAGTTTGTAAGAACATTCAATTTGTTTCTGAGCCATGCTGCCTTTTCTTTGCCTCCCTTTTGTAAGAAAAGGACTAGGTCTTTACTGCCACTGAGACAAAATACTGTATGTGAATTGTTGAGCAAGGAGGGTTCAGCTTCTCTGGTACAAGAGATCAGTTAGCACAGAAATGGCTTTGGCACTTTAAATCTTAACATTGTCCCAAACCGTGTTACTTGAATATCGTGGCGTCACATGATTTTTTTTTTTTAAACGCCATATCTCCATACTTTGTATGTACATTTTTATATACAATAATAAAATTCCTTCATTCTCAAACAGGTCACATTAAATCTTTGTAGCAAGTCACTCAGTTTTCTTCTTACTGCTTATGCCACACAGTTAATTTGGTGTTTTTATTTAAGCTATCTTCTGGGATTGACTTAAGGCTCTAGTTTAATGCAAATAGATTAGTCTTAAGAACTTTAAGAATCTTCAAGACTGACATACACCAATGACTCTCTCTTTTGATGAAGCTGTTTCTCCTTGTTGGATGGATGTCGTGTCTTGTCTGGGTAATCCATAAAGATATATAGAAATACATACGAGAAGTGTACCCAAAGCAAAGTTGAGTGCTGAAAAGGAAAAAAAAGAAATCTGCATTGTGTCCTTAATTAAGACCAACATGTTAAAGATCAATTTGAAATTTTGAAAAATTTGAGTTGTGGAGTTAGATCGTCAATACTGGCTATACACTTGCCAAGAATACAAATTTCCCTTTATACTGATTAAAAGAAAATACAGTGGAATGTGGCTTTTCCATTGTTGTAGAAACCTGTGAACATGTAGAGTAAAAACGTAGTCGAGCAAAACACAGGTGACTGAAGGTTAATAGAGACAGTGACAATTAGTGCATGCTTTACTAAGTAAAATTCCATTTTCTAAACTACCCTTGTCTTTTTTACCTTAATTCAAAAAATGAGGACACAGCTTAAAAATGGCAGGCAGAGAAATGACATCAAGCTGTAATTTTAGTTCACCTCTAACTAGGAAAGATTAGCTTCGCCTAATTAATTTCCTTGACCATCAGTAAGTACACTGAGCAAAAAGCACTTCATACTGTTCCCAAATATTCCTTAAGATCAGAGGCGTAAGGATTTGTTGAGCACAGGATGGATTCAAACTCCAATTAAAAGCTTACCCAAATCAGGTAAGAAAAGCATCTAAAGCACGGTAAGTAGTTATTAGCCTTTTATATAATACTATGTGCCAGGGACTATTCTAAGAACCTCACCTCAAACAACCCTATCTCAGGTGATTTTATCATTCTCATTCCCCAGGTGAAGAAACTGAGACACAGGTTAAGTAACTTCCCCAAGGTTGCACAGGTAATAAATGGTACACACAACATTTGAACCATAAAATGATTTTCTAAGATTTCTATAAGGTTGGTGTCCCTCTATTTGCATTTATAGTAAGAGTCAATTTTAAAATGACATGTAATATAGGTTAGGTCTTTTTTTACTTATGTCAACTTTAATTCATGCATTACTAATGGTACAACTTATCAATAAGAAAATGATTATTATAGCATAAAAGCACCCTGAAATGTTAAGTCAACATCACTGTTTAAATAATATTACAAGGACTGGCAGAGCAGTGGTGACAGAATGTCAACTATAGTAACATTAGATGAAACTTACCTTCATAGGGCCTCCCCGGTGGCACAGCGGTTGAGCGCTGGGTTGCGAAGCTGCCTGCAGCCTCTGCAGCGCCGGTTCGATTCCCAGCTGCTCCCCGGCCACCAGAGGAGGGTCCCACATGGCGCGCAGACCTCTCCTGCTGCCCGCTGCTCCCCTCAGCAGTGTACTTCGGTCCTGCTCTGGCTCTGGTGAATTCTCTCACCCTCCCGCGCTTCTGACTGTACCCAGTGCTTGTATAAATAAGAAAATTTAGATTGTAGTTTCATAACCAACTCACACCCCATGTCCAAAACAGGAAGTTATAAACTATAAGGAGTAAATGAAAGCTCTTCTGCCCTTTCCTCAAAACAAAGTCTATATAGTTTACACTGCTGAAAGTAATCATTTTCTAAAATCCTGTACTTATTACCTTGTGTTCTAATCACACTATATTCACCTTGACCTTGTTTCTAATACCTAGGGAAGAGAGAGGCCTGGCTGCAGAAGCACTGTCTCTAAAGGGCAAAATTGCTAAATAGACACTTCTCCAAAGACAACATACAGATAGCCAACAGACACATAAAAAACTCATCATCATGGAAATGCATATCAGAACCACACTTCTCACACCTATAACAGTAGTACACATCAAAAAGACCAAAAACAAGTGTTGGCAAGGTTGTGGAGAAAAAGGAAACCACCTACTGGTGGGAATGTAGACTGCTCCAACCCCTATGGAATACAGTATGGAAGTTTCTCAAAATACTAAAAATAGATCTACCATATGACCCAGCAGTTCCACTCCTAGGTATCTACCAAAGAATGCAGAAACACTTATTTGAAGGGATGTAAGTATACACACACATACCTGTATTCGCTTCAGCACTATTTATAATAGTTTAGCTATAGAAACAGCGTAAGTGCTGTTTAGAAAACATGGATTCTAAAAAAGTGGTGTATATATACACAATGGAATACTCATCTATTAAAAAAAAAGATGAACTCTTGCCACATGCAACAGCATGGGTGGAACTTGAGGGAATTATGCTAAGTGAAATAATTCAGAAGGGGATAGATGATTACAATCATGTGGAATATAAAGAAAAACAGGAACAGAAGAACACCAAAATAACCCCTAGAACTCTGACTACAGAAGTGGGAGAGATATGGGAACAGCAGATTATGGTGGAGAATTAATGATACTTTGATGGTAGATGATGGTAATATACACCTGAAGAAGCATGACCCTGTACCCCTACATCAGATACAGTGTTGTAAACTAATGTCTCAATAAAAACAATCTTTTAAAATATCTCCAGCAACTAAGTAGCCCCCTTACTTTTCATATAACCATTACCCCTCAGCTTAAGCCTAAGCCCATTTAAACCTAAATACTGCTGACCCACATTTCCACAAGAAATGGGGTATAGTCAGAGGCGTGGGAGGGTGAGAGAAATCACCAGAGACAGAGCGGGGAGCAAAACAGGCAGACGGACCAAAGACACTACTGAGGGGAGCAGCAGGCAAGGCAGGAGAGGTCTGCCGCGCCATGTGGGTTTCTCCCTGGCCAGTTGGGAATCATACCTATGTTGCAGAGGTTGCAGACAGTTTCACAGTGCGGCGCTCAACCCGCTGCACCACCAGGGAGGCCCCCATCTTTGGATTTCTAGGAATTTCCATCAACACTACAACCAACTGCTATATTTAATAAAAGATGAATTCAGAAGGTCATGTTAAAAACTTAAGACATACTTATCTGCAATCCAAACAGCATCACTGAAGCGATGGTAGAAAGGACAATGGCTGCTGCTGCAGAAAAACCTTTCATGATGTTGTCTGTGTACTTGACCACAACTGAAGTGTAGAGGCCTCCAACACTTGCAAAAACTTGATTCAGAAAGAAAGAAAATCGTAACACTCACATGAAACATTATGATGGTGAGGTAATTTTCATCCCCAAGAGATGTCATAGTAATTTACCCACAAAAATACTATTTTCCTTAGAAGCAGCCATCTGAGAGAGTTTATCCTAAAATTGCATAGTAGTTTCTACAAAACATCATTTTTCAGATGCCCAAAGGGCTACATGGTCTACTACTAAACTGTACACATTTATTGCTAACACATTAGATACTTCTGATTGTGAAGGCAAAATTGCTTTGGGATAGCTGTGCCACAGAAGTAAGTCAATAAAACCAAAATTACAATTCAAACTGATGTTCACAATATCAAAGGAGCAATTTCAAAATGCTATAAAGGCTTAAAATGGACATCAACCTTAAAAAAAAAAAATCTACCCAGAACTTTTAATTCCTGGATACTTACAGATGACAACCCAGACATAATACGTATAACCATAGAAAAATCCTTTTTCTTTAACTTCTTCTCCATCAGACAAGTAGACGCCAACTAATGTCACAACAATCCCTGATAGATACATCTGAATGTTTCTCACCCAAAGGGAAGTGTCTGAACTCTTTAAAACTTTTTCAAAATACACTCCTGAAAGAAAATTGGACATGCAAATATGAAATAATTATTGGAAATTAATTTTAAGTAATCTAGAGAACATTTAAGTACATGCATATTATGTTGGTTGTCACACACTGCATAACGAATACACCAATTTGTATTATAAAGAACATAGAATTAAATAAAAAGGAACTTTCTAATCTACACTGACAGGAGACTTAAATTACTGTTAAGAACAGTTTGTGCCGGGCCTCACTGGTGGCGCAGCGGGTTGAGTGCAGCACTGCGGGTTGAGTGCAGTGCTGTGAAGCCGTGCACAGCCTCTGTAGCGCGGGTTCCATTCCCAGCCAGCCATGGAGATTCCCACATGGCGCGGCAGACCTCTCCTGCCTTGCCTGCTGCTCCCCTCAGCAGTGTCTTCTATCTGCCTGTTCTGCTCCCCGCTCTGTCTCTGGTGAATCCTCTCACCCTCCCGTGCCTCTGTCCTGTACCCCAGTTCTTGTATAAATAAATAAATCTTTAAAAAAATTAAAAAAAAAGGTTCTGGGCCTCCCCGGTGGTGCAGCATTTAAGTGCTGGGTTGCAAAGTGGCCCACAGCCTCTGCAGCACTGGTTCGATCCCCGGCTGCCAGGCGAGGGTCCCGCATGGTGTGCAGACCTCTTCTGCCGCCCGCTGTTCCCCTCAGCAGTGTATTTCATCAGTCTGCCTGTTCTGTTCCCTGCTCTGGTGAATTCTTTCACCCTCCCGTGCTTCTGACTGTACCCAGTGCTTGTATAAATAAAATTGTTTAAGAAAAAAAAAATTTTGCTTCATTAAAAAAAAGGTTTTGCCTTTTACTAAAGGCAGAACATAAATCACAGTAACATAAATAGCAGTAAGATAAATCACAAAAGTTGTTTTAATGCCAATAAAAACTTTCTTTGGCAAGTTACACCCCTGTAATAGATGATTAGTAATGAAAACGCCTAACTTTGCAGAATAATCTATGTAACCACCACTTGGGATTTTTTTTTTCTCACACAACTAAAAACGTAAATAGAATTTGCTGAGTTAAGTCATTTTTCTTTAACACTGGCTTCCACAAGCCACGTTCACAGACAATTTTCAAAGGACTGTGAGCTCCCAAACTGATAGTAAGTTTTGTGTGTATGTGCATTTCTCTGGGCTTGAGAATCCATTTTTTTCCCCAAATACTCCAAAGGAGCACAGGATTCCCCTAATAAAGTTACCACATTTCGCCTGAGGATAGGACTATAAATGCATACTCAAAATGAATGTATGGGTTAGCAAGGACATTAATTATATATTAATATAAATACTACTGTAATACCAGTAACTAACAATTCTAATGAAAAACAAGACTATTTTCGGTGAACCTATGGGGAAAGACCCAGAAAATAAAAACAAACCTGGTTATTTCTATTTCACCTTATATTTTACTATTCAAAGCATAGAGGGAAACTGTTTATTGAGAGGCTGCACTAATAGAATGTTAGACATAAACATCTAATCATTCAAAAATTGTATTAAAAGTCAAATATATTCTTCTTCAGATAACTCAATTTGTTTCTAATTTGATGGTTCCTAACAAATTTTAGCATGATACTATCATTAAGTTTATTATTAAAATGGAATTGTCCTCCTTACCAAATCTTTCTTAAGAGCAGTATTTCATCTCCACATCCTGCCTGTTTCTTAGCCAAAAACAGAATCCTAATTCTTGAAATAGTACAAATAAGATAAGTAATAAAGATATACAGCTATCACTAATACTCTTTTTACTAAGAAAAACTTTCAGTTTCTTCTCGTTGGAAGTACTTTTAGAATATATTTCATTTCTTATTGTTACATTTAACATTCACACTTTGTCTCTTAGGTCAGTGGAGGACCACTTCTCCCTACACAATTCCAGACTTCCATGTTTGTTTGACGTTAGTGGTTTTGGTTCTTACCCCTTCTTTTTTTGGCTGTTAACTTTTATTTGTTAGGTTTCTAGGTACTCTCCACCCATCCCTTCACATCCCTACTCCATGGTTCCTAAACTTTTGAAGCAGGAGAAAGATTTGAGATTACCAGAGAAAAACAGACCAAGCCTATAACTAAACCCTTGAAGCAGCAGAATTTAGTCTGAGGATAGTGTCAGTTCCAAGAAAATGAAAAAGCATCTGAGTTTCTGATGGCTAATTTCTTCCATTTTTTTCAGAGGTCTGTTTGCATTACTTTTTGGATTCTTGGCTGGATAAAGGATGGTCAAGGATGACAGAGTATATTCTTAGATAACTCCAAGTGTGAATGACTGAGATCCAAACTCAGTGAATCACTACCAGGCACTCACTGGAAAACAGCTAATAAAACTCTTAAGAAGATGAAACTTTAATGGGAATCAAATTATAGTAATAAAATGAGATAAACTAAATCTCTAAAGTTTGACTTTTTGAACAAACATTTTGACAATAAGTCCTTTTATGATTTACCTGCAAATCCTGAGCACAATACAGCAATAGCTATAGCGCCAAACCCGAACAATGGGTTCTGTTCCACCTGCAACAGTTTTCAAAAAGTTATTTTCAGTGACTAATAAATAGGATTCATCTGGGAGAACAAATGAATACAAAAATCAGTTACAGTTCTTCTGAAGGTATGTACTATATCAGATAAAGCTATTGTACAGAGTAAGATAGAACCAAACAAAAGACCATCCCATAGTGTAATCAAAGCACTTAAGTTAAGCAACGAATTTTCCATAGTCACCTTGTCTCCTTGACTGCCACCCACCTAACTCAAGCCCCCAATCATGGAAAAGGTAACAATTTATTTCTAATCACCTACAGAATGAAGTAGATTAGGATTTCCTACTTTTTAAAATTTCCATCAAATACTAATAACTGCCATGCACCAGACATGCTGTTATGTACGAAATGAATGAAGATAAAAGACGATACACAGCTGGGTGGGACTGAGAGCTATCATAATACTGTGCATACATATATATGGACCCCAGTCTATCATTTCACCTTTATTTCCTCTTTCTCCCCTAAATTAATCTTTATGAGCTTTCATCAGAAATGAATACTAGCTCAATAGTAACCCTGAAACAGTGGGTTAAGATACATTTCTATAATCACAGATACCTTGTTCAAAACTAATGGCCTGATACAAAGTATTACTTTATGTGAACTACTGAGAGAGAAAAGGCTTGGTCTAAAATCTCCATATGGGGACCCTGCCTGGTGGCCTAGGGTTAAGTCTCAGCTCACTATCACCACCCTGGCCCACCATACTGACCTGGCTTCCATCTCCAACCAGGGAGCTACCCACATAGCACAGCAGAATCCTGTCTCGCCTCCTGCTCCCCTTAGTGTATTTCACTGGGTCTGCCTGCTCTGCTCCCACTCTGTCTCTGGTGAATCCTCTCTTCCCCCCTTACTCCTCCTACACTCTGGTCTTCACCAGAGTAGTTCTTCTATACAAGATAAAATCTTTTTAAAAAAAATAAAAGTTTCTGTGAAGGAAAAAGGAGATACAGAACAAGTGGGTTTGCAAAGGATAGTCCCTGGACCAGACAGCAGCACCAGCACCTGGGAACTTGTTAGAAATCAAAATTGACAAGGCCCCTCCAGACCTACTGAATCATAAACTCCGGAGGGACAGGGCCCAGCAATCTATTTAACCTTCCATGATTATGATATACAATAAAGTTTGAGAACCACTGCTATAGACTACTGTGGACAAATATGGATTGTTTCTAACAAGTTACAAGGCTGGTACAAATATGACAAAAAATAATGGTGTGTAATGTCCCCTATGCCAACAATTGCTAGGAAGTTCAAGCTACTAAAAATAAGTATCTGATACTCTTGGCTTGCTTTTCTGCCCATCTATAATTATGAAAAATAATAAACACTACCCTGGACTTAATTCTAATTTAAAAAGAAACAGCTAGGTAATGAAATAGACATGATAAAAACTTTAGGAAAGAGCAACCATATCATTTTACCATGAGCGATAGCCACTCAGTTAAGAGAGATGGGCTCCAGTCTTGATTAAATCAAAATTTAAAATAAAACTTCAAATAAGAATTCCATAGCTAATGGGAAGATGGTTCAAGAGGGATTAAGAGATTCTAATGAAAAGTGCAAAGAACACAAATCAACATGAGTAATTACAGGCTATCTAATAAGTTAAGATTTACAAAGATACTTTAAGTCATTTAATTTTAAATGCTTAGTTTGGGAAGATAAAAGTATGTTTCTTGGGCTAGATGATAGACTGTTAGATGATAAGAAAACAGAGCTATTCAAATCTAGTTGCCATTTTCTCTGTGAATAGTAATTTTTAAATAAACATTTAGAAGGTAAGTGAAGTCCAAGATATATGGTTTACTATTATAATACATGGCTAAATGCAAAAAAAAAAAAATTCAGTAGTATCTTGACCAAGAACAATAGCAAATCAAGATACTTCACTGAATCTTCAAAGAATAATGGAGATTGAAAACTATGTAAGAAAACTTGAATTATGTAAATACTTTCCTGATACTCACACAGGCAGAAATTACAGAAAAACTGCTTGAGACCTCTGAGGCAGCCAGTACACTTACCAAGAGTATAAGCTCTAGAAATACATTGCCTGGGTTCAAGCAACATGACTGTGAACATATCAATAACCCTTACCTGTCAGTTTCCTCATCTGAAAATGGAAATAAAAACAATTCCAGCCTCATAGTGATGTTGGTATAAGTGAATTAATATATGTAAAGCACTTAGAACACTGCTGGTGTTTAATGCTATGTAAGTGATTGCAGCTGTTGATGATGTTGTTATTAGCAAAATTCTAGAAAAGATGACTTGAAGAACTTAAAATCTGAATAAGAGAGTGCTACTTTCCTATCAGATTTACTAACTTGAAAGGATTCCTAGTGTAAGTGATAAGGGAAATTCCATAAAGATAATGATGTTTAGCAAGAAATTTGACAGATTTGCACAATATTTTTATGAATGTGACAGGAAAATGCAGTGAGGATAACAGTGCGACTATGACTATTCATATCTAAGTGAATATTCAGACAGCAGAGTGTTGATAAATAAAATCATGCTAGACTAACACCCAATACCAGCTTCCCAGGCATGTGACTAAGCCACCTCTGAAAGAGATTCCCCACGCCCAGTCAAGCCTTCCGTTGATGGCAGCCATACCCTGTATCTTGACTGCACCACCCTTGTAAGAGACCTCAAGCCAGAACTATGTAGCTATAGTAACCCTCAAACTCCTGAGGCATTAAAAACTGTGAGAATAAATGTTTATGAAGCAAGGGGAAAATGTCAAGCTAAAGAGAAGTCTGAAAACAGCCAGAGAACTCTGGTCCTATCTAAGATTTTCAGTCAACTCAGAGGACACATTTGTCAAATCTATAGAAAGCATAACGCTCAAGAAAAAGTTAATATTGGATAAGGACTGGAAAGACCTTAAAGGCCTGACCACTCACCCAAAGTTAATAAGCCAAGTTTAATAAATACTAACACATCCTGTATTTTGATCTAGAAGCAGCCCGCTGCATAAGACACATTTGAGACAAACTGAAACAGCTACATGTAGTTGTATATAAACATACATAATAGATAGACTCCCCCCTCAAAAAAAAAAAAAACCGCTAATCATATTTAAAATAAATCTCTAACATTCAAAAAAAGGTAATTAGAAAGTTTTGCCTCACACAACTCAGTCAACATCTGTACTGAGAAACAAGTGAATGCACCTAGAAGACAAATACCAGACAATGGAGCAGGAGGCAGAGATGATGAAATCTCCAGAAAAGGTATTCTATTGCTAGAAAGAAATCACCAGGATGTCTCAATGACTTGAGGATGGGGATGACATTGTCCTCCAACATTCAAAGGATCATCAACTAGTCTGTAGGGATTTGAGACACTCTGACAACAAGAGCAGTAAGAGGAAGTTATAGGACGCTGCATTCTGTTTATAATATGAAATAACTTCTAGAGTGATTCAAAAGTAGGATACACTACCCCATACTCTATGCTTACTAAGTTTTTCATACACATAACTATGTGAGGGGAACCTAGAATTTTCTAATGGTATGAGGTGTTTATACTTAAAATTCACATTTAACTTCTAATGTTTGTCTTATTTCCCTCATAAATTATTTCTCTGCAGGTGTACCACGGAGTTAAATGTATATTGCATATCTGATTTGAAATGTCACCAAGAGTATAAGCATGCTTAAACATCGTGGGAAGACAAAATATATTAAAGGCCCAAAAAAATTTTCTAACAGCAACTAATTAAAGAGGAATTGACTTCCTATATTCACAAGGTCTGTGTACATCCCAGCTACTTTATAGGGTATTCAATTGTTGAGAAAAACTTCTGACTTTCAGAAAGATATTCATTAAAGTTCCACTTCCCCGTTCTTTGGAAAATAAATGATTAAAGCATGTAATAATAAAAAGCAGGCTAACATTTAACTGCCAAAAAACAAAGTTATAAGTCAAGGACACTTCTGCCCTATTTTAGTTATCAAAAACACCACTCCCCAATAATCCTGATCACTGGCAGTGGCAGTATATGCAAACGGATAAAAATCTTTGTAAGTTGAATGAAAAAATGAAAATTAGATAGAGAAAACCTTGTCCCATGTTTCTTAAAGAATGTCTTAAAAAGGGGGCCTCCCCGGTGGCGCAGCGGTTGAGCGCTGGGTTGCGAAGCTGCCTGCGGCCTCTGCAGCGCCAGTTTGATCCCCGGCTACTCCCCGGCCACAGGAGGAGGGTCCCACATGGCTCGCAGACCTCTCCTGCCGCCCGCTGCTCCCCTCAGCAGTGTACTTCGGTCCTTCTGCCTGCTCTGCTCCCCGCTCTGGCTCTGGTGAATTCTCTCACCCTCCCCCGCTTCTGACTGTATCCAGTGCTTGTATAAATAAATAAATAAATAAATCTTTAAAAAAAAAAAAAAAAAATGTCTTAAAAAGGGTCCAGAAGTTCTGAACAAGTGTACTGTGTGGGGTTTGGCACGATTTCAATTCACAGCCGAGCTACTATCTATCTAACCCTGGACAATTTACTTTACTTCTTTGGTCTTCAATTTTGTCATCCATAAAAGAAAGGAAGTGGACTACATTAAGTTTAAGTTACCTTCGATCTCTTAACATTTTATGTATATTCTCTTCTTTGAAAAAGGCCAATAAATATGATTATCCTTAATTAACATTATCCTAAGTGCGAAAAAGTCTATCCTTTGGGCAAAGATTACTTTAAATCAAAGACATGTAATTGTGCTGCATTCAATATGACTGAGTTTATAAGACTTAAGGAAGTTTACTATTTTAATTGTGGTAGGCATCTTGTTTCTTACCATGACTTTTGTAGCTTGGGCTGGTTTCCACTGTACAAGTGTGACTCCACCACAAAGCATAAAAACTGAAATCCACTGTAATTTGCTGAGTGTCCGGTTTAACATTAAAACAGTACATAAAGCAGTACAGGGAATCTTCAACTGGTAGGTCACCTAAATTAATGAATTAATGAATTCATTTAACATCAGTTCTGAGACAAATACAGTTGACCTTTGAACAACATGTGTTTGAACTTCATGGATCCACTTATATGTGGATTTTCTTAGAAACAGGTGACATAAAACTTAAGATGAGTAAATATAGTGCAGCATAATAAATGTATTTTCTCTTAATTTTTAATAGCTTTCTCTAGCTTTCTTTATTGTAAGAATACAGCATATAGTTCATACACAAAATGTTTTCAACTGTTCATGTTATCTTTAAACCTTCCAGTCATGAGCAAACTATTAATTGTTAGTTTTGAGGGAGTCAAAAGGTACACATGGGTTTTCAACTTGATGGGGAGTCAGCGCCCCTAAACTCCAACTCCTTCTGTAAGTGCCAAGCTACCATTCTGTACATGATTATAAACTCAACAGAAATTCACAAGGATGGGGAGATGAGAAAACAGTAACAAAATTCTGATAGTTAGAAAGCAGATGAACAAACAGAAGCTGATTTCCTAGACTACAGAGTAGAATTCTAAGCTAGCAGTGGGGAAGGGTGATAACCATTACAATGTACAGAATAAAACCATCACAAGTCTCAGGAAGTAACAAGTACTTCTGCAGTGAGATGTGAATGAAGGTTGGGTAAAATAAGCATTGGCTCCATGCTGTTTAGAAAACAAATCCAGAGACACTACTCCTATGATTTTCTTTATCCCAACTGAACAGAAACATGGAGTCTTATTTTTATGGGAAGAAAAAAATTGAACTTGGGGAAGCAAAAGCCAGGGAAGATTAAAGAAGCTGATGCGCATGCATTTTTAATATGGGTCTCTTCAGCTGTCACCAGTCAGCTCCTAGACCTAGCTAGGACTTCACCCTCTGTAGGTGGTAAACAATTCTCCAGGGGCATTTGGCTAGCTTGAGGCAATAGTGCTCCCCAACCAAAGATCCACATATCTGCAGTAAAGCTCCAAGTCAACAAGCCCAAACAATATGCTCAGAATTTCCCATTAGATTTCTTGTCTCCCACTCAAACATAAGGAATACTAAACATTAAAGGAAAAACAAGGACAACAAAACCAAGTTGGAGAAAACAGATTGTGTAGCAACAAGAAAACAAAAATCAGTAACAAAAAACTACAGTAAGTATCCTTAAAATTATGTTACACCTGTGAGACAAGATTTGAGATATGTGCGGGATATATGTCTATAGACTAAGCTCCATTGTCACCTTTGCAAGTTCTCTGTAAGGTGACCAGTTATATATTCAAGGGTCAAAAGTACATTATTTCTGATTAGCATTAATAGTTATCAAGAAAAAATTACCTGATTATGTGACAAAGGGTTAATAATCTTTTCACCATAAAAACATTTTTTAAGATTCCGCACTTTTTATCATCACTTACTCTACTTACCTGGTACACTGCTGCGTCCAGATTGCTGAGAGCTATGAAAGCCATGTTGTTCTGAACAGCATACACTAACGATGGCACACTTAACTTCATCAGTTCCTTGGGGCTCCCCAAGACATTTTCTCTTAAAGATGCCTTGAATCTACCCAGACTACCAGTTTCTCTTTAAAACAAAAAAGGGAAATCATTGGGGTTAAAGGAGAAAATTGAACAGCATCCCTTTGATAAGATTCCTTCACACACAGGAGAGCTGTTTTGTGTTAAGCTCACTGATCTAATTTAGCAAACTTTTTTTTATCATTTTGAGCTAATTTTAGATTAAAAGAAATACACCAATAATACATCCTCAGAAAAACAATTACAAGCTCTATTTGATAAAATATAACAATTAGATTTACCAGCATAAACCTCTGTTTTTTAAGTATAGTAAATAATGAGATAACAGATAACTGGAATTGCTGATACTATCTACAAAAATTAATCTCTACCACTGTAAATGCTATTATGTCAAGTTCCTCCTGATTTTTTAATTAATCAGGTTGCATGCGGTACCCATGCTATCTCTTGACAAGGTCAGGGCATTGGGGGAGACTCCCGAGAAGAGGGGAGTTCCTGTGCTCCCCAGAAGAGAGAAGTTATACTTCCCAGAAGAGGGGAGTTCTTGCACTTCCCAAGAAGATCTGAACTAGGGAGTCTCCATGGCAATGCCTGCTAATGCTCTCCTCTTTGTTCTTGGTTAATGTGAAAGTAAGTTATTAATTAGCCTGTGAAAACCCAATTCGGACCTAGACATTGATTGATTTATTGTTTACACTTGAATCATTATCAAAGAAAGTACAAACTGCTAAAGGTATAGTTAGGAAAGAAATGTTTTGGCCCTGAGAACTATGGAGAACAAGCTGCCCTGAACCAGCTGTGCTTGGAAACTGTAGCCTAACCCAGGGGGTACGTGCCTATGTGCTTGCAGCAGCAGCACATTTCCTGGTGTATGCAAAAGGTCAATAGTTCGCAGGCCGTGTGGAGGTTAGGAATTGCTAGTTAAGAGTTAGACTTCAGTAGAACTAACATGGATTTGATGAGTTGCTTTAGGCCACTTTGAAGTAATTGATAAATTAGCCAAATTAGTTGAGTGATAAGGAGACAGGCTGATTTTTAGTAATAGAGTATAGAACTTTTACACCCACTCTGAAACTAGGAAAGTTCAATAGAATGCTTAATTGTTACCAAATGTTGTGCTGTCTTATATAATTGATCATGTTAGAAAGTGAGCTGCACCTAGGAAACTAATTGTTCCTGACGTTTTTTAAGGTAACCAAAGAAATGCCCTTTTGGTGTGAGACCAAGGGAGTTGCTACATGTTCATGAGAAAGTATGTATTGATTGTCTTTGTTCTGCCTCAGTATCGCTCGCCTTAAGGTATAAATAAAGACCCGCTAAGACCCTCATCCCCCCAAGATTTCAATGACGCTGTCCTCTCCTTTCTGAGGCCCCTGACACGACATCTAGCTGGAACTGATCTCCATCAGTTGCATATCCCATTTTTCAAGATTGTAATAGGTTTAAATTACAAACAAAAGAAAAAAATGTGCATGTTCCTTGGGACAGGAATTGAGAAATTCAGGTTGACATTATTTACAAATTAGTTCAGTGCTTATGAAATATGGAAAATATTTAAGTAAGCATATTCTCAAAAGTCAAATAGAGGTATATAATTTTACAGGACATCTGTTGTATATCAGTTCACTTTTTTCCTGAAAATAAAAATAAATCAATGTTTTATAATAAGCATCAACAGCAAAGATGTTCTTTATCAAAAGAATCCTAGCTGCAACTAACAATATCCCTAAGAAAGATTAGATTTGGAAAAAAAAAAAAAAAAAAGCAGCAGCAGCTTCTATCTTGTTGGGGATTGATCTGTTCCAGCTTAAAGTTTATGATCATCACAATGAGCCTATACATTTTAGGTTAACATAATCACTAGACATTAATTTAATTTTTTTATACTTAGAAGTACAAAAATAACTACTTAAGTTCTGAGGGAGGACAGAAAGATCATAATGTCTAATTGACCACTAATGCTTATCCACTGGACACTTCCTGCCCCCAAGAAAATGCTTTCATAAGACAGGAAATCTGGCCCAAGACACAGAAACCTTACTGAGATCTTCCTCGGTTGCCAATTTCAGTTAAGTTCCACACTACAAAGGTAAATCTGTATGCTGGAAAGTAATGTAGACCTCCTGCTGGGAGATTATACTACCCAGGCAACGGAAAGAATACCAGAGATGACTACTGAGCAATTCTATATAATAGACTTTTGAAGACTGGCCCTTTAAAACTATGACATTCTTTTTAAACTACTTTTTAATGCAAATGTAAAGTATACCATATTTTTTCTCAACTTCTTTAACAGAGTATAAAGGATAATTTTTCAAAGAAAGTTTTCAATTATAAAATTCAAGACAACATTTAAGATTAAAATAAAGAATCAAGAGGTGCAACTAAAAGGCCCATATCAACAAAGTGTTATATTAGAAAACATACTTGAACATTTTTTTAATGTAATTCTCACTGGTAAGCATCATATGATGGCAGAGATATAAATCTTAGTCTGTATAAAGTGCTATTTCACTGTGCTATTACTGACTATAGTGTGGAAGCTTTAGGAACTACTAAGAAGTGCCCGTTTGTATTTTTTACCACATTCTGTCTCCTTCCATATGCATTTATCTCCCAGACAAGAGTCTCCAAGCTTTTACAGCAGCTGTTTATCCTCCCCCTGGTTCTCGGGTATAGGCAATGTCCATGTCATCTTAGCTCTCTCTACCCCTTAGAGATACTCTAAACCTTCAATAGTTATCAAATGAATTTTTTGGCTATCAAGAGAACAGAGTTGACCAACTACTCTCTGCTTTGTCAGAATATGGGCTCCTTAGGATCTAATTGCTCTCCTAATAACACCACGCCTATATCAAAAATCAAGGTGGTTGTGGTCCCTTTTCTCCTTATAACTTTTCTTATCTCTTCTACACTTTTCAGCTTTCACATTTAAGGGGAAAAAAAAAAGCCTCTCGCCAGCCTTCCCTTCAAGTGTGGCAAACCTGCAAAGTGTGAGGATATCTTCAGGTCTTAGGCTCTTCTGTTTGTATCCTTTTGCTGATGCTCAGAAGCTACTCCTTCACTGCCAGGAAAGCTTTAGTATCTTTTTCTGGTTCCTTCTCTAATCCAGTTATTCCAGAAACCTCAAATTTCACTGCGATACTGTAGAATTATAGTAATATACTTCTAATATTTTGAAGTACAAATAAATAGCAGAAGATGCTAAAAGAATCTACACAAAAACAAAAGCTGAAAAATAATAGAAAAACATTAGAAAGTGAGATAAAGATATTTAGGAGGTACAAGAAAGAAAAATATGTGCAGCACTATTTACAATAGCCAAGTTATATAAACAATCTAAGTGTATATGTACACAATGGAATACTACTCAGCTAAAGACATTTCAGGGCCTCCCCGGTGGCACAGCGGGTAGAGCACTGCGCTGTGAAGCTGTCCACAGCCTCTACAGCATGAGTTCAATCCCCGGCCAGCCAGGGAGATACTCACATGGCCAGGCAGACCTCTCCTGCCTCGCCTACTGCTCCCCTCAGCAGTGTCCTTGGTCTGTCTGCCTGTTCTGCTCCCCCTACTCTCTGGTGAATTCTCTCACCCTCAGGTGCACCTCTGACCTGTACCCCAGTTCTTATATAAATAAATAAATCTTTAAAAAATAATAATAAAGACATTTCACAGTGTAATGAAGAGCACAGAATCTATTCTAAATACTAGTTCTGATTTTTGAAGAACTGACCCATAGATGTGATCATTGACCATATTCACCAATATGTACAATTTCTCTAATAAAGGGACTTATTGCTTCTGCATTAAATAAACAAAGTTCCACTATCAGCCTTGTTTAATTAAAAAAAAAAATCAAATCTTGCCATTTACAGTATCCATAGAACCAAAAGGGATTATACTAAGCTAAGTAAATCAGAATAAAGACAAATACAGGATGATTTCATTCATATGTGGAATATAAAGAAACAAAGGGAACAGATAAAACTAATCCAAAACCAAGCCTAGAAATCTGACTGCAGAACTGATGCTACCAGAGGGGGATGAAGGGGGCTGGGGGCCATGGGAGAGGTGGCAAGGAGGCGATGAAATAAGGTAGAAGAGTGTTAGGGTTTTGGTGGTAGGCGTGGGTGATAAACATTTGAGGAAATGTGAACTTGTACCCCTAAAACATATACAGTGCGGTAAACCAACCCCACCTGATTAAAATTAAAACTTTATTTAAAAAAGAAAATGTGGGGGGCCTCCCTAGTGGTGCAAGGGGTTAAGCACTGCACTATGAAGCAATCCACAGCCTCGAATGCAAGTTCAATTCCTGGCCGGCCAGGGAGAAACCTATATGGCGAGGCAGACCTCTCCTGACTCGCCTGCTGCTCCCCTCAGCAGTGTAGTTCAGTCAGTCTGCCTGTTCTGTTCCCCACTCTGTCTCTGGTGGATCCTCTCACCCCCCGCATCTCTGGCCTGTACCCCAGCTGTTGTATGCATAAATAAATAAATCTTTAAAAAAAGAAAATGTGGGAATTAACCATACAGAAATTTAAAGGAGATAAATGACTTTAGTATTAAAAAGATTAAATACTACCTCACGCCATGCACAAAAACCAACTCAAAATGGAGTTGACATAAGACCTGAAACCATAAAATATATAGAAGGAAATATATACATGACACACACCTCAGTAACATCTTTAAAGACTCATCACCCAAAGCAGTGATAGTGAAGGCAAAGATAAACAGCTGGGACTACATCAAATTAAAGAGCTTCTGCACAGCAAAAGAGACAGTAACCAAAACTAAGAGACACCCCATGGATTGGGAGAAAATTTTTGCACACAACACTAATGATAAAGGACTGATCACAAAAATCTACAAAGAGCTGATGAGACTCAACAAAGTAAACAACCCAGTCAAAAAATGGGCAGAAGAGCTAAAAAGAAACTTTTCCAAGGAGAAATGCAAATGGCCAACAGGCATATGAAAAAATGTTCAACATCACTTGTAATCAGGGAAATGCAAATCAAAACTACAATGAGATACCATCTTACA